ATCCCCAACAAGCTATGATAGAACGCGGAAGCGAAAAGTGCAAGGAATTGTACCTTTGTGGCATGATTTCATTGAATTAAGTACATCTAGTATGATTCATCTATCTAGAATATAGTCATTTTTTAATGTTTCTTTCCGTCTCTGAATGCATCACTTGCGTAGCAGAGTCAAGACCAGAGACCCCCCGGAAAGCCAAAACAATGGGCGGTCAAAACGGTAGGTGATAACCACCCATTCAGGGATAACTCGGGCAATGCATTGCCTTTTCACTCCTTCTGGTCAAAGCAAACGCATGCTTTTACCAACTAGAGGGGAAAAAGATGGTATGCCTTCACACCTGGAGAACCTTAAAGTGCCCCTTTTCCTCCCATTTTGAATGTAAAAAGGCATCGTGCTAGTTTGAAATTATGCCTGAGTAACTTACCGAGCGTGACGGCCCGCATATGAGCAACGCGGGGGGGTCAGAGATACCAGACGCCCATCATCTCCATCTCGGCTCTAACGCCAATCGAAGGCAAACCCACCCGGATGCCAGTATGATATTGCCGCTCTATTTACAGCTTACTTATGCTGGCATGACTTTAGATGCGTAGTGCTAGTTTAAGATTGTGCAAGACTGATCCAATCAACGCCATAACTCGAGATCAAAGAACATATTCGATGCTCTATACAATAAAATCTAACAAAAACAACAATAAGTCTGAGATTTGTCAGTAAAAGAAAAGGAAACATGGACCCATAATTATTAAGTTCCACTTGAAGAAAACAGTGTGTCAATCTTTTGGATTCTTGTCCCCCCTCTTTTTCTATTTGGTTGTTCTATTGGTTTGCCAATTCGGAAAAATTCTCAGCTCCCCAGTTCTCCATTCTTGACGTAGGACGGTCCAAACAGGAGAGACGGCTCTTGTTCAATACCTTATTAAAACTTTTGGGACGATTGTCTCTCATTTATGCATTCCCGTTTAACGTTCTCTCAAACATTTGCTCCAACTATATCATGTTTGAACGTCGTGGTTAAATTATCCGTCGCAAATTTCGAATGATAAAAATTACCTCGCAAAATTTGCGAAAATTTGCGACGGACTATACTGGTCCGTCGCAAATTTGCGACGAAACTCCACTTTCCGTCGCAAATTTGCGACGGATGTTCTATGTCCGTCGCAAATTTTCGACCGGCAAAAAATTTCCGACGGAAATAAAAATCCGTCGCAAATTTGCGCCGTAAAAAAAAATCCGTTGCAAATTTGCGACGGAATTAAAAATCCGTCTCAAATATGGACATACTACATGATCGTTGTAAATTTGTGACGTCTTTTTTTCGGTGAAAAATTTAGCATCTCATTTATTTGGGTCCTAAATTTGCTACGTCTTTTTTTCAGTCCAAAATTTTGGCATCTCAAATTTTGCAATGGAAATTAGAATATCGGAAATGTTAGTGCACGTTAATAATATTTGACTTGTCGGCATTTAGGGACAAAATTTCGGACGATCAATTAAAATAAAAAGAATAATCGACAATAACAATAATAAAAAAGCACAATAACAATAATAACAAGAACAATAATGATAACAACCAAAATAGCACTTGTAGCATTAATAATTACACATCTATAGTGTTTTATGACAAAAATTTTAATCTTCATCTTCGTCTTCGTCTTCGTCTTCGTCTTCTGTCTGAAAATCAGATTCTGAACATTCTTGTACATTTAATTCGCAAATTTCAGTTGGATCCACATCTATCATTGCTCCACACGGATCTCGTAAAGTTGGTATGTTATATTCCTCAATTTCAACCGTGTTACACACTTCCTCTTGTTGGTAGGCTCTATCCTTCCAGTGTTCCTCGATTTTTCTCTGTGCTTTGATTTTACATACAGCCCACCAATCAGCTTTGTCACGTTTCAAACTAGGATATGATGCATAACATACTTGAATTGCTTGTTGTGCCATGACAAATGGTTCATACTTCATATACCTTTTCTTGTGATTTATTTCAACCAAATTGAACTTCGTATGCACCTTCATTCCTTTGACGGGGTCGAACCACGTGCACTTAAATAACACAACCCGCATCATTAATGGTCTAGGGTACTCTATCTCTATGATTTCATCCAACAAGCCATAAAAATCATCTTCTGAACTGCCACCATTGGATGACCGAACACACACACCACTATTCATTGTGGATTTTCCCATTCCATATTCTTGAGTATGAAAATTATATACATTTATGAAATATGCTGGCCAACTTCGAACTCTTAACTGTGGACCCCATGACAGATGATATAGCAATCCTTGCCCTCCAATTTCATCATAATTACTGTGAACCTAAGGTTACACATGCAAAGTCAATAATATATATTATACTAAATGATGTATATAATTTTAATAACTTGGTTTTGGTCCATAGACATCTTACATATGTCTTGAACCATGCTGCAAATTGTTAATCGCACAAACGGTCAAACTCATTTGGTTGTAGTCCAAACATTTCAGTTTGGAAAATCCTAATATTAAAAACCATATTAATATTAGCAAATATTTGACACACAAAACATATATTTGCAAATTTACACTTACTTGAAGTATGGCTCGACTTCTGGGCAGTTCAGTAAAATATAAGTACGGGCTGCATGAAATTCTTCGCCTGATAAGTAACGAAACTGACATGCGCCGCTTGGTCGACCCAGATAATTAAAAATAGAGAATGCTGTGCAATTGGGATTAATGGGGTCCTCATCATTTCTGCCTGCTCTCCGCCTCTTGCACTGAACGTGCGGCTCAAAATAGTATGATGCAAATGTTGTCACTTCTTCCACAATATATGCATTACAAATTGAAGCTTCAACACGTGCCTTATTCTTCACTTTTTTCTTCAAATGATATAAGAATCTAGTTTAAATAGAAAGAAGCTTATCGGAACATATTATATGATAAACTAATTTGAACTGTATTTTAAAAAAAACATTACCTCTCAAATGGATACATCCATCGAAATTGGACGGGACCTGCAACTTTGGCCTCATAAGGCAAATGAACTAAGAGATGCTCCATCGAATCAAAAAACGCTGGAGGAAATATCCTTTCTAAGTTGCAAAGAATAATTGGAATATCTCTCTCTAGTTTTTCCATGTGCGATGCTTTTAACACTGTCGAGCAAATATCATTAAGGAAATTGCTTAACTCTGTAATGGCGCCCCATACAAAGTTCGGTAGAACTTCCTTCAAAGCTATTGGAATTAGTCTTTCCATCAGGATGTGACAATCATGACTCTTCAAACCTGTGAACTTGCATTCATTCAAATCAACATATCTCCCGCGGTTCGAAGCATATCCATCAGGAAACCGCACAGATTTCAACCATTGACAAACAACTCGCCTCTGCTCCTTATCCAATGTATAAACTGCTTTTGGTTTTGGTCCCCTGCTGCTTGCATCCACAGCTAGTATTGGCCGATCGCAAATATCTCTCATATCTTTTCTTGCGTTCAAGTTGTCTTTTGTTTTTCCGGCGACATCCATCACAGTATTTATGACATTGTCGAAAACATTCTTTTATATGTGCATGACGTCAAGATTATGATGAATAAGATGGGCCTTCCAATATGGTAGATCCCAAAATATACTACGTTTTGTCCACTTATGTGTACTTCCGTACGCAAAAGTCGTGCCGTGCGGGTTCTCAACAACAGTTGGAAAGTCCTGCACACGCTCCCAAATTTGATCGCCGGTCAACCTCAATGGTGGACGCGTTCTTTCAGTCCTATTCTTGGTGAACTCTTTCTTATTCCTTTTGAAAGGATGACTTGGCGGTAAAAATTGTCTGTGACAGTCAAAATAGCTGGGCTTCTTTCCATGTTTTAATCTAAATGACTTTGACCTTTCCAAACATATCGGACATCCTAAGATTCCAGCTGTACTCCATCCAGATAACATTCCGTAAGCTGGAAAGTCATTTATCGTCCAAAGAAGGGCAGCCTTCATTACAAATGTTTGATCGGTAGAAACGTCATACGTACGAACTGTGACATTCGGAATTTCGACCCCTTTTTGGGATTTATAAAACGTGTAATTCGTCGGTGTGCTTATAGTAAAATCTCGCCCGGGAACTGATCACTCCCGGTTATTGTTTTTAAAATTGAGATTTCGCTAGAATCGCATTCGATCGAATTTGGCCGTTATTTAGAGCCCAAACTTTGGTGTCGAATTTCTCGAAATTCCAGAACGAATTTAATTGGACGGTGTCGATATTAGTGTGGCCAATCTCGATATTAACCAGGATACGTGAAAAATGAATTTTTGATCGGGTGCGAATTTGGACTGGTAGACCACCCTCGCAGTGTGTTTTTATTAACACCATTTTGGCCAAATCCTAAAAATATTAATTAGGATTTTTCGGGGACCGTCGGATCGTTTTTCGGGTTTAAACCGTGGCCGTCAGATCGCACTTGAATACGATTTGACCATTCTCTCTCTCTCTCTCTCCTCCCCTCTTTTCCCGCCGGCTTCCCCCCCATGCGCCTGACACTCCCCACCAACCCATCATTTCCTCTCTTTTACCTTTTCTTTTTCTTTTCTTTTTCTTCTCTTTTCCTCCTCCTCGCCGTTGCTTCTTCTTCATCCCTTTCGCGTCCGCTTCTGGCTTCTTGTTCTTGCTTCTGTTCGCGCCGATCGCTCCTCGCGAACCGACCGCTCGTCGCGCCACCATGGCTCCGCCCTAGTCGAGCCGCGCTGCCGCTGTCACCCCAAAACCGCTCATCGTCGGACCGCCGAGCCACGCTCTGGTCGTGTCCTCGCCGGTCCGCCCGTTTTTCTTCCTCCACCGCCGAGCGCCGCTCCTCCCCGCCGTGAACCACCGCCGTCCCGGACGTTCGCCGGACCGAGCTCGCCCTACCCAGCTCCGTTCGCTGCCGGGACCGACTCCGCCGTCCACCTCCGACCGTCGCCGCTGCTGTCCCAGTCGTCGGGAACAGCCAAACCACGCCCGTTCGTCGCTCACCGGAGCATTCCGAGGACACCGCGGACCGCCCTCGTCGCCGCCGTCGTCCTCGCGTCTTTGCCGGCGTTAGCCGAGTAAGTTAACCCCTAATCCCGTGTTTAGGACGTTAAACTTGCTTATGGTAGTTTAATTTATTTTTAGTTTGTGTTAATTGTGGGTTAGTGGTTAATTAATTGTGTTTAGGGTATAAGTTATTGATTAGTTTATTGTTATTGATAATTATATGAAATGTTATTATTTTCGGAATTTAAATATTATTTTATTAGTTAATAAATTAATTCAGAATTAAATATTATTATTTTATTATTAAATAATTAATTTCCGAAAATTAAATAGTATTATTTTCGGAAAATTTTCTAACGTTAATTGTGATGCCAATGTTGGTTTTCGCCGTATAAGTTGGCGTATTTAGGAAATGATTTGAATGATTTCGATTCGAGGAAATATTTTGACATTTTGGAAAATTAAATTATTTTCGGATATTAGTAATTAATTAATTCCGAATTTAATTTATTGTTATTTCGGAAAATTTATAATTTCAAATTATGATTTCTAGCTTGAATGTTGGCGATTTTGCCGCGTATTGTCGTATTAAATTGATTTTATGGCAAATTGTTTGATCGAAAGTTTCTGTGGAAAATTTATGAGACTTTTGGAATTAAATTATTTTATTCTGTTATGCCAAGTAATGTTAGTGATACTTGGTAGTTGATATTCGTGTTTGATATCGAAGCTTGCAAGAATTGGTTGACTGTTTGCATGTGTGGCCACTTGGTATTATTGTATGACATCGAGGAGAGCACGATTCATGTATGCATGGGCTAATTGAGAAGATAATAATTGGCCGGAATGCTTGTGTGCTCGTGTGGTCACACGTTGGAGCCGTCTTGCTGTGTATCGCTTGACGATGCCCGATTTATCGGATGCCTGGGGATTATCTGCCCGATTTATCGGATGCCTTGTCGCGGCCCGAGGCCGGACTCGATGCTCCTTACGGGATACCATCTTACTGTAGATCGTTTGATGTTGCCGTATTGGAATGCCGTCTTACTGTAGATCGTTTGACGTAGCCGTGCCCGACGGGGCGGGACGGAGCCCGGTTTTTACCGGTAGACCGCCATCTTGCTGCGTATCGCTTGATGTGTGGTGGCCCCGAGGGGGCGTAATAACTGGAATACGTGTGATGCATAGTGCCTGGTTATGTGGTAGAAACTGCTAGGCATGGTATGGGACGTGCTCAAGTGGATTCTATCTTATAATCGGGACACGCCCGCTTGTGATGCATTGATGCATGAGTAATTGATCTAGATGCTTCGAGTTTGCGACATATGCATTTCATCAACGAGTGTCCCAAGGCGAGGTAAGGATGCCTGTGACTGTTTAATGATGTGCTGTTGATGCTGTATTGCCTGGTTAGGGATCCCCGTGCGAGTTAGCCTCCTAAGCGGGGCTTAGGCTGTTAACTTATTGAGACTTTCGTCTCATTTGTTGTTGTTAACCACTTTTCAGGCCCCTAGCATGTTGTTGCACCCAGTTTGGTTCAGGGCGTCTGGAAGCTGGCTTTTTGGGATCGACTTGTTGATGGAGTAGATTAACCCTAGCCTTTACTCTTTTTGCTGGCTTTTGTGGTAGCGCCCGATGTGGGCTTGTAAGAATGTTCCCAGGGGTTAATCAAGTGAAAATCAAAATAGTGTGGTTTGACTGTTGTGAATTGTTTTCCTAACTATCCCTGTTTATTGTTGTTGTCCGGGGATTGTTGTGATCGTTTCCGCATGCGTAATTAAAAGATAAAAAGAAAAGGGTCGGCGACGAGTCCTGGGTCGTCGCATCATAACGACCATAGCGGGGTTCGGGGCGTGACACGGACACCTTCAACCCATAGCCGTTGTAACTCCTCAATCAATGGTTGCATATAAACATCTATCAACTTTTTCGGATTTTGCGGCCCTGTCACGATCAATGTCAAAAACATATAAGGTGTCTTCATGCACATACCAGGTGGAAGATTGTACGGCGTTAAGATAACTGGCCAACATGAATAACTTTTTCCTGTTTTCCCAAATGGAGCAAATCCATCGGCACAGAGACCTAACCTGATGTTCCGAGGCTCCATCGCAAACTCAGGGTATGTTCTATCAAAATGTTGCCATGCCTCCGCATCTGAAGGATGACACATTAGACCCTCTTCTGTTTCATGATTTGCATGCCAAGTCATGTGTTCAGCAGTGGCTTTAGACGCGTAAAGCCTTTGCAATCTGGGGATTAAGGGCAGATAAAACATTTGCTTGCATGGTCTGCGCTTCTGATTACGACCCGGCCTCCTGTTAATCTTGTACCTAGGTTGGCTACAGAATTTGTAAGATTCTGCATTTTCATCATCTCTCCAATATATCATAGAAACCCCTACTACATACATCAATCCTTACAACCGGAAGACCTAAGTTATCCACTAGCTTTTTCATATCATAAAAATCACTTGGCATGATGTTATCACGAGGCAATGATTCTCGCATTACTTCAACAAAAGAGTTGAAGCAATCCGCAGACACATTATGCTCTGCCTTGATATTTAATAGTCGGGCTGTCACCGATAACTTAGTGTGGTCCTCACAACCTGCCCATAAAGGTTCATCTGCTGCTTTCAACACATCCCGGAACTGATTAGATTGAAAAGTTTCATTATAGACATTCTCATCAAAACCCGTTACTCCTATATCTTCCAATTGTGAAGTATGACTAGTACCCACTTGTTCACGTGTAGGAGTAAAACTAGTACTTGCATGATTTGATTCTGTGACAAAATTATAACTAGCTGCATCAATCACCATCCTCTCGTATGGGTTCAATTGCTCATAATAGCCACATTCTTCCCTAACTGAAAATTGGTCACTTCTTCCATATCCTTCATCAGATATAAATGGTTCACCATGGGAAGTCCAATTATAATAGTTCGGACTAAACCCAAATCTAGTAAGGTGTTCTCTAACTTGATCACACACACAAAATTTACCATTACCGTACTTTTTACACGGACACCGTAACTTATTTCCATCCATGAACTCATATTTACTACTAGCAAAGTCTAAAAATAGTTCCAACCCAAGATTTAAACTCATCTCGTCAATCCTTGACGTCCGTAAGTTCTTATTATACATCCAAGCCCTTTCTCTTTGCATTGTGTCTGTATTAAAATAAAAAATTCTGGTAAAATATTTAAAATATCATATTTATTGTTCTTAATTAAAACCATAAAATTTTAGAAATTATAATTTTTGTTATTCACGCAACAATTAATATGAAATTGCAAAAATAAAAAAAATTACCATGTAAAGAAGACTTACCCAAATATTTGACTGAAATATTGGTAGGAGAAAGTGGTCAATTTGATGAGAATTGCAACGTCCACTTGGATTGCGAGACCTTTAATTAGACACATACCCAAAAAGAATAATCACTTAAGAATCATTTTTTAATAATTTTTAATGTGCGATGGAAACGGAATTCATCCCTCGCAAATTTGCGAAGGATCGTTGATTCCGTCGCAAATTTGCGACGGATCAACTTGAATTTTCATTTATTCGTCGCAAATTTGCGATGGAATCAAGGATCTGTCGCAAAACGGCGTGGCCGTTCGGCCTCATCCAAAGGCCGGCGAGGTGTCGCCGGTCGCCGGTCGTTAAACCGGTGATGCAGATACGAAAAAAAAAACAAACATAAACATATATAAAATAAAAGAAATTACAATTCAACGATGAATAGTCACGAAGCTAGCTATGATACTTACCGGTACAAAAGCTTCACCGAGATTAATATGTGCGTGCGCGGATTTTGCTGATTTCAGACATATGAAAGAGGGAGAAAAGCGAGAGAGAGAGATAGGGTTGGAATATTACGGGCTAATAAACTACAAATTTGCGACGGACGTGCGTTTTCGTCGCAAATTTGCGACGGATTTGGCGACGGTTTTTTTTTCCGTCGGAAATTTGCGACGAAAATTTTGCGACCGATTTATTTTCCGTTGCAAATTTGCGACGAACTTCTTTCCGTCACAAATTTGCGACGGTTTTTTTTTCCGTCGGAAATTTGCGACGAACTTTTTTCCGTCGCAAATTTGCGACGGAATTAGCGACGGTTTTTTTATTTCCGTCGCAAATTTGCGACGGAATTTGCGACGGATAAAAATTCCGTCGCAAATTTCCAACGGATTTTTCATCCGTCGCAAATTTGAGACGGAAATAAACCGTCGCAAATTTGCGACGCAAAATATAATCCGTCGCAAAATTTCCGACGGAAAATTTCCGTCGCAAATTACATGTTTTTTTTGTAGTGAGAGTCAAGACCAGAGACCCCCGGAAAGACAAAACGGTAGACGGTCAAAACCCGTGAACTTTACAACTCGGGCATTGCATGCCTTTCCTTTCACCCCCTCTTGTCTAACCAACGAATGCTCTTACGATTTAGAGAGGAAGATGGTGTGCTTTCACACCGAGAGAACTTTAAAGTTCCCTTTTCGCATTTTAAAACGACTGCAAAACGGGTCGTGCTAGTTTAAAATGAGCTAGAGTAACTTATGAAGCGTAACAACCCCCATATGAGCAATGCGTGGGATCCAAAGGTTTGCGACATTCATCGACCCCATCTCGACTCGCATGCCATTGAAGGCAACCCCACCAGGGTACCGGGAAGATATCGCCCACGCTATTCATAGGTTACTTGTGCCGGCGTGACTTTAAGGTTGCCCAAGACTTATCTACAAGCGTAATGATTTGGGATCAAACACATGTCTGACACTCGATATAATTGAAATCGGACAAATATAACAATAATACAGAGATTTTAATGAAGCAGTACTGGGTTTCATGGTCCCATGATTATTAAGTTCAACTTGAAGGGAAGAGCATCTCAATCTTTTGGATTTTTGTCTCCCTTATCTATTTGGCTGTTTTCGTTGGTTCGCCAATTCGGAAAATTCTCATCTCCCCGGTTCTCCATTCTTGACGTAGGATCAGATGAGACACGGCTCTTGTTCAACATTTTGCTTTGATCAAGTGAAATTTTTGGGAAGATTGTCTATCAAATGCATCCCGTTGCTTTTCATTTACGTTCTCTCTAACATTTGCTCCAATATTATCATGTTTGAACGGAAAAATTGTCCAAATTTTTAATTGTGCCAATTGAGTCCTTAACATCTTTACATTTTGCCGATTGAGTCCATCCGGCCAATTTTGGTTAGAAATTACTGACGTGAACGCCGACCATCTTACACGGCACGACCGGCACTAACGTTGATAATTTTTAATTATATTTTTATATTTTTCGAATTTTTATTAATTGTTTATATTTTCTTTTCTTTTCTTTATTTTTCTTTTTCCTTCTTTACTTTTATTATTATTATTATTATTATTGTTAAGGCCTATAGGGGGCTGCCAACCACCAGACGAGGCCTAGCAACCCCCGCTAGCCACTGGGTGAGGACTCGCTGACTTCACAGCGGCCGGTGAGGGCCATGAGCCCTCGCTTAGATTTGGGCGAAGGCTCACGGCCCTCACCTAGCTATGACCAAGGGCTGTGACCCTCACTAAGTGGCCGGCGAGGGCTTGCAAGCCCTCGCCCATTGGCTGGCGGAGGTCACCAAGCCTCGGTTAGTGGCCGGCGGCCCTTTGCCAACCTTAACAATAAAAAAAAAAGTAAATAAGGAAAAGGAAAAAGAAAAAAAATATTAAAAAATCAGAAAAAAATATAAAATTTTATTAAAAATTATCAACATCAGCGCTGGTTATGCTACGTAAGATGATCAACGTCTACGTCAATGATTTTCGATCAAAATTAGCAGATGGACTCAATTGACAAAATGTGAAAAGATTTAGGACTCAATTAGCAAAAAAATTTAGACTGAACTGGCAAAGTATAATAGGTTTAAGACTTTTTTATAATGTTTCCTGTTCGAACGTGGTTATTGAAGAATAATGATGACTGAGCGATGATTGGTCACGCTCATCACCATGCAAAAGTTTTTAACTACTATCTTCGTCCGAAAAAGAAAATTTGAAGAAAATCGATCGCCAATTTTCACTATATTTATTGTATTATAATGTAATGGTGTTTGCTACTTACTAATATTGCATTCTGATATTTCCTTATCGAATACCATTTAGTAAATGTTTATCATATTTAAATACGCTAAATAAGAACTCTCCTTTTAAATATTTTATATTCTAATATTTCCTTTTGATTCCATAGGAGTGATGTCCACTATGCACTCAGATGATAATCCTCTTACTCAATTGTGAGGTTGACCCTTTTATAGTTTTTGCAGAATTTTTTAGTAGATTTGAGGAACACTGGGGTTAAAATTAAATTTACTGAAGTGCATGATAGAAGCGATGACGGTCCTGCTTAAATTTCGATAGATGTGTGAACTTTAGTGTCTTATTTTAGAAGTGAGTCATGACAGTTGATGTTTGTAGACTTTGATGGCAGAAGCATAATGTCTTGTATAATTGGAGGTTAAAAAGATCATCTGTTCAATATTACCGATTTAGGGGTTAATTAGCGGTTTCAAGATTTATTTTCTTTTTCTCTTTTCCTTTTCTGGTTTTTTTCTTCCCTAGTGCTGAGCAATTACTGGGCTTGATTTTTGGCACAAGATTGGTCTTTGGTATATTGAGATGAATTTCCACTTCTCCAACACATTTTTTCTCTTCTTTTTCG